CTCAACCCATTTTCCTCTAGAACAGTGGTTCTCAACCTTCCTCATGCTGCGACCCCTTAATACAGTTCCTCATGTTGTGGTGACCCCCAACCATAACATTATTTTTGTTGCTACTTCATAACTGTAATTTTGCTACTGTTATGAATCATAATGTAAATATCTGATATGCAGGATGTATTTTCATTCACTGGACTAAACTTGGCACAAATACCCAATACGCCCAAATTTGACTACTGGCAGGGTTGGAGGGGTTGATTTTGTCATTTGGGAGTTGTAGTTGCGGGGATTTATAGTTCACTTACAATCAAATAGCATTCTGAACTCCACCAATGATGAAATTGAACCAAACTTGGCACACAGAATTCCCATGACCAACGGAAAATACTGGAAGGATTTGATGGGCACTGACCTTGAGTTTGGGAGTTGTAGTTCACCTACCTCCAGAAACTCAAACAATGATGGATCTGGACCTAACTTGGCATGAATATTTAATATGCCCAAATGTAAACACTAGTGGAGTTTGGGGAAAATAGACCTTGACATTTGGGAGTTGTAGTTGTTGGGATTTATAGTTCACCTACAATCAAATAGCATTCTGAACTCTGCCAATGATGAAATTGAACCAAACTTGGCACACAGAACTCCCATGACAAAAACAGAAAATACTGTTTTCTGATGGTCTTTGGTGACACCTCTGACACCCCCTCGCGACCCCCACAGGGGTCCCGACCCCCAGGTTGAGACTTTACTTACTTACTTAGGCGATCCCTCGCTTTCCGAGGATGATTGTCTTCCAATATTCTTGTGGGTCCGTATGTGGTTGTGGAGCCCTATTCTTGCTCTGCATCTTCTCCCGCAGTGAGGGTATTGGTTTCCAGGTGGAAGGCGGTCTCGGCCGGGGTTGGCTTGACGCGCCTTCCTCTTGGCACGTTTCTCTTTTTCACCCTCCACTCGTGCCTCCTCAAATTCTGCAGCACTGCTGGTCACAGCTGACCTCCAGGTGGAGCGGTCAAGGGCCAGGGCTTCCCAGTTCTCAGTGTCTATGCCAGAGTTTTTGAGGTTGGCTTTGAGGCCATCTTTAAATCTCTTTTCCTGTCCTCCAACATTCCATTTTCCGTTCTTGAGTTTGGAGTAGAGCAGCTGCTTTGGGAGACCGTGGTCGGGCATCCGGACAACGTGGCCGGTCCAGCGTAGTTGATGTTGGAGGACCATCGCTTCAATGCTGGTGGTCTTTGCTTCTTCCAGCACGCTGACGTTTGTCCGCTTGTCTTCCCAAGAGATTCGCACGATTTTCCGGAGGCAGCGCTGATGGAATCGTTCCAGGAGTTGCATGTGACATCTGTAGACAGTCCACGTCTCACAGGCATAGAGCAGGGTTGGGAGGGGAATAGCTTTATAGACAAGCACCTTGGTATCCCTGTGGATGTCCCGGTCCTCAAACACTCTCTGCTTCATTCAGGAAAATGCTGCGCTTGCAGAGCTCAGGCGGTGTTGTATTTCGGTGTCGATGTTGACTTTGGTGGAGAGGTGGCTGCCAAGGGAGCGGAAATGGTCAGCATTTTCCAATGTTACACCATTAAGCTGTATCACTGGCATTGGAGAAGGGTTGGCTGGTGACTGCTGGAAAAGCACCTTGGTTTTTTCAATGTTCAATGACAAGCCGAGCTTCTCGTATGCTTCTGCAAAGGTGTTTAGAGTGGCTTGTAGATCTTCTTCTGAATGTGCACAGACGACGTTGTCATCAGCATACTGGAGTTCTATAACAGAACCACTGCTCTAGACAGATAGGAGGCCTCACCTTGGTATTATTATTATACTGACACAAAAACACAGTATGACACAGCTAATGAGATCTATATATTGGATTTCGTTATTATTATTATTTCTTTCCCGCCGCACCTCACAGCTCACAGAAACAAAGGTAGCTAGAAGTGCCATTTTGAACAAAAACAAGAAGCAATTGCAAGATTTGCTCCCCGGCTCAATGGAAACCATTCGCAGTTGCTCCATAGCAACTTATCCCAGTCCTATTATTATTATTATTATTATTATTATTATTATTATTATTATTCCTGCAATTTATTTATTTATTTATTTATTTATTTAGGCCGGTTTCCAACAATAATATCACAAGCAATCGTTTAAAAACATCACATTCCGTAATACACTAACACATTAAAATAACAAGAATGCAATCATATAATTACAATGGCCAAGTCGTCACAATAAAACCGTTGTTCATCACCATCCATCCATATAGCCACGAGTTATTGACTCACCCGTCAAATGCCAGTTTCCAGAGCCAGGTTTTCACCTGTTTTCTAAAAGTCAGGAGAGAAGGGGCAGGTCTAATCTCCAGTGGGAGGGAGTTCCAAAGCCGAGGGGCCACCACCGAGAAGGCTCTGTCCCTCGTCCCCACCAGGCGCGATTGCGAGGCCGGTGGGACCGAGAGCAGGGCCCCTCCAGACGATCTTAACAACCTTGATGGTTCATAGGGGAGAATCCGTTCAGACAGGTAAACTGGGCCGGAGCCGTATAGGGATTTATAGGTCAGCACCAGCACTTTGAATTGTGCTCGGAAGCTAATTGGCAGCCAGTGGAGCTGACGCATCTGAGTAGTAGTATGCTCCCCGTATCCCGCTCCTGTTAGTAATCTCGCTGCCGCTCATTGGACTAGTTGGAGCTTCCGGGCAGTCTTCAGAGGCAACCCCATGTAGAGAGCGTTGCAGTAATCTAAATGGGATGTAACCAAAGCGTGGACCACCGTGGTCAAGTCAGACTTATTGGCGTTGATTGCGTGTGCATTTTGTTATATACATTTTAATAGTGTGTTGTATTTATTTTATTTTAACTTTATTTTATTTTAACTGTGCCTCGAGTTGCAAGGAGAGGTGAGTAACAAATTGTTGTTGCTGTTGTTATTGTTATTATTTGATACACAACAAGATCAGTACACAGCAAACAAGATCACAATGCTGGCTGTTATTTATTTATTTATTTATTCCCATTGACTGGAAAGGTAAGACGCAGGAGCTTTAGCTGGAGAACAGCCTGATCCATCTTCTTTCCTTTTCTTCCCTTTCCCTTCTTCCCTTCTCTCCTTTCCTTTCCTTCTCCCTTGCCTTTCCTTCCTTCTTTCCCTTTCTTTCTTTTTCTCTTCATCCTTCCCTTCCCTTCTCTTTGCTTCTTTCCCTCCCTTCCCTTCTTTCCTTCTTTCTTTCTTTCTTTCTTTCTTTCTTTCTTTCTTTTCTTTCTTTCTTTCTTTTCTTCCTTTAAGGACATTGTGTTGGAAAAAATGGAAGAGGTGCAGTTTTCTCTTCTTCTTCTATCTATCTATCTATCCTTCCTTCCTTTTTTCCTTCCTTCCTTCCTTCCTTCCTTCTTCCTTCCTTCCTTCCTTCCTTCCTTCCTTCCTTCCTTCCTTCCTTCCTTTCTTCTTTCCTTTCTTCCTTTCTCTTTTTCCTTCTTCCTTTCCTTTTTTTCCCTCCCTTCCTTTCTTTTCTTTCTTCCTTTTTTTCTCTTCTTCCTTCCCTTTCCTTTCCTTTCCTTTCTTTCCCTTCCTTCCTTCTTCCTCCCTTCCTTCCTTCCTTCCTTTCCTTCCTTCCTCCTTCCCTCTCCTTCCTTCCTTCTTTCCCTTCTTTCCCCTTTTCCTTCCTTCCTTTCTTCCTCCTTCCTTCCTTCCTTTCCCTTTTTCCTTTCTTTCTTTCTTTTCTTTCTTTCTTTCTTTCTTTCTTTCTTTCTTTTCCTTTCTTTTCCTTTTCCCCTCTCTTCCTTCCCTTCTCTCCTTTTCTTTTCTCTCCTTCTTCTTTTTCTTCCTTCCTTCCTTTCCTTCCTTCCTTCCCTTCCTTCCTTTCCTCCTTTCTTTTTTCTTTCTTTCCTTCCCTTCCTTCCTCCCCCTTCCCTTCTCTCCTTCCTTCTTCTTCCTTTTCTTCTTTTCCTTTCTTTCTTTCTTTCTCTTTCTCTTCCTCTATCTATCTCCTACCTCCTTTCTATCTATCTATCTATCTATCTATCTCTATCTATCATCTATCTATCATCTATCTATCTATCTATCTATCTATCTATCTATCTATCTATCTATCTATCCTACCTCCCTTCTCTCCTTCCCTCTTCCTTCCCCCTTTCCTTCCTTTCTTTCTTTCCCTTCCTTCCTTCCTTCCTTCCCTTCTCTTCCCTTTCCTTCCTTCTTTTTTCCCTTTCTTTCTTTCCTTCTTCCCTTTCCTTTCATTCCTCCTTCCTTCCCTTCCTTTCTTTCCTTTCTTTCTTTCTTTCCTTTTCTTTCTTCTTTTTCTTTCTTTCTTTCTTTCTTTCTCCCTTCTTTTCTTTCGTTCACCCAAAAATATAGGCAATAACACACAAAAACACACACACAAAAAACAAAATCTCTTTCTTTCTTTTCTCTCTCCCTTCCTTCTTCCTCCCTCCTTCCTTCCCTTCTTCTTTTCCTTTCTTCCCTTCTTTCCTTTTCTTTCTTTCTTTCTTTCTTTCTTTCTTCTTCCTCCTTTTCCCTTCCTCCTTCCCCTCCCTTCCCTTCTCTTCCTTCCCTTCTTTCACTTCCTTTTCTTCTTTTCCTTTCTTTCTTTCTTTCTTCTTCCTTCCCTTCCCTTCTTTTCCTTCCTTTCCTTTTTTCCCTTTCTTCCTTCCTTCCTTTTTTTCTTTCTTTCCTCCTTCCCTTCCCTTCTTTCCCTTCCTTCCTTCCTTTCTGGTAGGCTGTTAAGAATGGTGGGAGTTGAAGTCCAAAACACCAGGAGGGCCCAAGTTGGCCTGTGCCGGCCATATATTCATTCATTCATTCATTCATTCATTCACTATATTTCTATACTGCCATTCTCAGCCCGAGGGCGACTCATGGCGGTTTCGATGCCCACAATACTGTTGTTGTCGTTGTTGTTGTTGTCATCATCTTCTTCTCCTCCTCCTTCTCCTTCTTCTTCCATGGCTAGGGTGGTATCATTCCAATGGCGCATTCCTCTGCTCTTCTTTTCTCTTTCTGCAGGCCGATGGGTCTCCAAGGGCGCCCGCCGTGTCCGAAAGGGAAGTTCTGGGACGCTCTCCTGGAGCGGTGCATGCCCTGCGGCCTCGCCTGCCACACGCGCAAGTTCCAAGGATGCGCCGACTTCTGCAGTGAGTGTCCGGGAAAGGTTTGCCAGGGTGCCAGTTGCTTCCGACCGACATCCAACTAGACCCAAAGCGGTGCCGCAGCCAAGGAAGTCGAGCGGGTTGTCGCTTCGTTGAGGTTCTCCCAGGATAGAGCGTGATGTTGCAGAGGGCCACTTCACCTAGGTTCTCCCAGGAGGGACTTGGCTCTGGCTTTCCTCTGCTCTGCTCAGAGAAGAAGATGGTGCTCCTCTAGATATATACAAGTCAAGGCATGGCTGTCTGTCTGTCTCTCTGTTTGTACCATCAAGGCTGCTGATAGGTGGAGTGGCCCCCTCTGATGCCACTGGAGTGGCTGTTGCAAGGTAGAGTGGCCCTTTGCAATGTCATAGGAGTAGATGTTCCTAGATGGAGTGGCCCTCTCTATGATGTCACTTAAGCAACTCTTGCTAGGGGAAGTGCCCTTCTGTGGTGTCACTGGAGTGGCTGTAGCTAGGTGGAGTGGCCCTCTGTGGTGTCACTGGAGTGGCTGTTGCTCGGTGGAGTGGCCCTCTGTGGTGTCACTGGAGTGGCTGTAGCTAGGTGGAGTGGCCCTTTGTGGTGTCACTGGAGTGGCTGTGGCACGGTGGAGTGGCCCTTTGTGGTGTCACTGGAGTGGCTGTGGCACGGTGGAGTGGCCCTCTGTGGTGTCACTGGAGTGGCTGTTGCTCGGTGGAGTGGCCCTCTGTGGTGTCACTGGAGTGGCTGTAGCTAGGTGGAGTGGCCCTTTGTGGTGTCACTGGAGTGGCTGTGGCACGGTGGAGTGGCCCTCTGTGGTGTCACTGGAGTGGCTGTGGCACGGTGGAGTGGCCCTCTGTGGTGTCACTGGAGTGGCTGTGGCACGGTGGAGTGGCCCTCTGTGGTGTCACTGGAGTGGCTGTGGCACGGTGGAGTGGCCCTTTGTGGTGTCACTGGAGTGGCTGTTGCTCGGTGGAGTGGCTCTCTGTGGTGTCACTGGAGTGGCTGTAGCTAGGTGGAGTGGCCCTTTGTGGTGTCACTGGAGTGGCTGTGGCACGGTGGAGTGGCCCTCTGTGGTGTCACTGGAGTGGCTGTTGCTCGGTGGAGTGGCCCTCTGTGGTGTCACTGGAGTGGCTGTAGCTAGGTGGAGTGGCCCTTTGTGGTGTCACTGGAGTGGCTGTTGCTCGGTGGAGTGGCCCTCTGTGGTGTCACTGGAGTGGCTGTAGCTAGGTGGAGTGGCCCTTTGTGGTGTCACTGGAGTGGCTGTGGCACGGTGGAGTGGCCCTCTGTGGTGTCACTGGAGTGGCTGTTGCTCGGTGGAGTGGCCCTCTGTGGTGTCACTGGAGTGGCTGTTGCTCGGTGGAGTGGCCCTCTGTGGTGTCACTGGAGTGGCTGTAGCTAGGTGGAGTGGCCCTTTGTGGTGTCACTGGAGTGGCTGTGGCACGGTGGAGTGGCCCTCTGTGGTGTCACTGGAGTGGCTGTGGCTCGGTGGAGTGGCCCTCTGTGGTGTCACTGGAGTGGCTGTTGCTCGGTGGAGTGGCCCTCTGTGGTGTCACTGGAGTGGCTGTTGCTCGGTGGAGTGGCCCTCTGTGGTGTCACTGGAGTGGCTGTGGCTCGGTGGAGTGGCCCTCTGTGGTGTCACTGGAGTGGCTGTGGCACGGTGGAGTGGCCCTCTGTGTTGTCACTGGAGGGCTGTGGCACGGTGGAGTGGCCCTTTGTGGTGTCACTGGAGTGGCTGTTGCTCGGTGGAGTGGCTCTCTGTGGTGTCACTGGAGTGGCTGTAGCTAGGTGGAGTGGCCCTTTGTGGTGTCACTGGAGTGGCTGTGGCACGGTGGAGTGGCCCTCTGTGGTGTCACTGGAGTGGCTGTTGCTCGGTGGAGTGGCCCTCTGTGGTGTCACTAGAGTGGCTGTTGCTAGGTGAAGTGGCCCTCTGTGATGCCACTGGAGTGGCTGTTGCAAGGTAGAGTGGCCCTCTGTGGTGTCACTGGAGTGGCTGTTGCTCGGTGGAGTGGCCCTCTGTGGTGTCACTAGAGTGGCTGTTGCTAGGTGGAGTGGCCCTCTGTGGTGTCATTAGAGTGGCTGTTGCTAGGTGGAATGGCCCTCTGTGATGTCACAGGAGTAGTTGTTGCTAGATGGAGTGGCCCTCTCTATGATGTCACTTAAGTGGCTGTTGCTAGGGGAAGTGCCCTTCTGTGGTGTCACTAGAGTGGCTGTTGCTAGGTGAAGTGGCCCTCTCTGTGATGTCACTGGAGGGCTGTTGCTTAGGTGGAGTGGCCTTCTGTGGTGTCACTAGAGTGGCTGTTGCTAGGTGGGGTGGCTCTCTGTGATGTCACTGGAGTGGCTGTTGCTATGTGGAGTGGTCCTCTGCAACATCACAGACGTGGCTGTTGCTAGGTGAGGTGGCCCTCTGTCATGCCACTGGGGTGACTGCTATTAGGTGAATTGGCCCTCAGTCATGCCATTGGAGTGGCTGTTGTTAGGTGAGGTGGCCACCTGTCATGCCACTGGGGTGGCTGTTACTGGGTGAAGTGGCCCTGTGTCATGTCACTGGAGTGGCTGTTGCTAGGTGAAGTGGCCCTCTGTGATGCCACTGGAGTAGCTGCTGCTAGGTGACGTGACCCCCTGTCATACGACTGGGTTGGCTGCTGCTGGGTGAAGTGGCCCTCTGTGATGTCACTGTGGCCCTCTGTCATGCCACTGGGGTGGCTGTTACTGGGTGAAGTGGCCCTGTGTCATGTCACTGGAGTGGCTGTTACTGGGTGAAGTGGCCCACTGTCATGTCACTTGAGTGGCTGTAGCTAGGTGAAGTGGCCCTCCGTGATATCACCGGAATGGCTACTGGGCAAAGTGGCCGTCTGTGATGTTACTGGAGTCACTCTTGCTAGGTGAAGTGGCCACTTGTGATATCAATGGGAAAGAACATTGACCTGTGTATGGGAGGACGGGAAGAAGGAAGGAAAGAGACACGAGGAGAGCCATGGAGACATTGCGAGGTCTCGAGAGCTGGAGAAGGGAGGAAAGAGGGGAAGGAAAGAAAGAGAAAAAGAAGGAAGAGAAAGAAACGGAGAAGGAAGAGAAAGGAAAAGAAGAGAAAGAAAGAAGAGTAGGGAGGGAGAAGTAAGGAAAAGGAGGGAAGGAAGAATGAGAAAGAAGAGATGAAAGCAGGCATGGGCCAACTTTGGTCCTCCAGGTGTTTTGGACTCCAACTCCCACCATTCCTGGCCTCAGGCCCCTTGCTTTCCCCCCTCAGCCGCTTAAGCGGCTGAGGGGGGAAAGGAAGGGGCCTGAGGCCAGGAATGGTGGGAGTTGGAGTCCAAAACACCCGAAGGGCTGAAGGTAGTAGCTTGCAATGGCACAAACAAGCCAGGCCGGATGGCCATCCAGATGCTCCAAGATGCAGTGAATGAAACTCGAGAAACTCAAGGATGCTGCTGTTCCCATGGCTACGTGGACTGTAACCACTGAGCTGCCGTCGAGTCCAAATGCTCTAAATTGAGCCTCTAGGGAACGAGAACGCTGACTCTCCTTTTTCCTTCCTCCGTCTTTTGATTCGAGGCCAACCCCACTGTCTTTCTTTTCTAACTCCAGGCTCCATGGACTGCAGCAAGCGTCCGGGCTTCTACTACGACAAGCTCCTTCGAGACTGCATCGATTGCTCCGGCGTTTGCGGGCAGCACCCCAAAGAGTGCGACCCATTCTGCCAAGGGGATCGGACCTCGCTCGGCATTCACCAAGTTGCAAAGCAGGGTGCGTCTCCAAGGATTTTCGGACTGAGAATAGGGGGGTGCGTCTCGATTCCCCGAGGGTTTTCAGACTAAGGATATGAGATACATGGGTTCCTCTGAGCATGGGCAGAGAGCTTTTTGCATATCACAAAGCAACTCTAGCTTGGGAAGGGTAGTTACGCCAGACACAATTCTTCTAGGTCGTGCCATTTTGCCAGGTTGCCTTTGGATCTGCCCACTCCGCTTCTATTTTTTGGACTTCCACCTTGACCATCCATGGTTTGACCCTCATGGAGGACCATCCCATTGGGATTTCCGGGTTTAGCTGCCCAGAGGGATATATTCTTACTCTTGCTGGAGGAACATTAAGTTCTCATGAAGCTTTCCCTTGATTTAAGTCTACTGAGAAGAAGCCGATAGCCATGCAGTGCGTGGCTTTCACAGAGTTCAACCTTATTTATCTCACAATCAGATGATGGATGGGTGATGATTCTGTAGACCAGGCTTCGATCTCCTCCTCATCCATGGCAACCCATTGGACGGTCGTGCGTGAATCACACACTCACCCCCCACAAACTCCATCATAGGTTTTGCTTTATGGTTGCCATACCTCAGAAACTCTGTGAAGGTACACAACAACAACAGTGTGGTGAAGTGGCTTAAGTATCAGACAAGGATTCTGGGAGACGAGAATTTGAGGTCTTGCTCAGCCTTGGAACTAAAATACGGTGCGCAGCCTCACTGTTACTACACAGTTGCCATGAGAGCGACCGGTGTCACAAACCCCTCGCTTACGGTTTTCTGTGGGCGAGTAGATGGCAACTACAGATGGCATATGTTCCGTATCAGAAACTAGAGCTGATGTGGTCTACCCAATGCAATTTTCAGAATCAGCTGATGTGGTCTATCCAGTGCAATTTTCTAAATCGGCTGCTGTGGTCTATCCCATGCAATTTTCTGAATCAGCTGATGTGGTCTATCCAGTGCAATTTTCTGAATCGGCTGATGTGGTCTACCCAATGCAATTTTCTGAATCAGCTGATGTGGTCTATCCAATGCAATTTTCTGAATCAGCTGATGTGGTCTATCCAGTGCAATTTTCCGAGTGAGCTGATGTGGTCTATGCAGTGCAATTTTATGAGTCAGCCGATGTGGTCTATCCAATGCAAGTTTCTGAATTAGCTGATGTGGTCTATCCAGTGCAATTTTCTGAATCAGCTGATGTGGTCTATCCAGTGCAATTTTCTGAATCAGCTGATGTGGTCTATCCAATGCAATTTTCTGAATCAGCTGACATTGTTTATCCAATGCAGTTTTCTGAATCAGCTGATGTAGTCTGTACAATGCAATTTTCTGAATCAGCTGATGTGGTCTATCCAGTGCAATTTTCTGAATCGGCTGATGTGGTCTACCCAATGCAATTTTCTTAATCCGCTGATGTGGTCTATCCAGTGCAATTTTCTGAATCAGCTGATGTGGTCTATCCAGTGCAATTTTCCGAGTGAGCTGATGTGGTCTATGCAGTGCAATTTTATGAGTCAGCCGATGTGGTCTATCCAATGCAAGTTTCTGAATTAGCTGATGTGGTCTATCCAGTGCAATTTTCTGAATCAGCTGATGTGGTCTATCCAATGCAATTTTCTGAATCAGCTGACATTGTTTATCCAATGCAGTTTTCTGAATCAGCTGATGTAGTCTGTACAATGCAATTTTCTGAATCAGCTGATGTGGTCTATCCAGTGCAATTTTCTGAATTAGCTGATGTCTATCCAGTGCAATTTTCTGAATCAGCTGATGTGGTCTATCCAGTGCAATTTTCTAAATCTGCTGATGTGGTCTATCCAGTGCAATTTTCTGAATCAGCTGATGTGGTCTATCCAGTGCAATTTTCTGAATTAGCTGATGTGGTCTATCCAATGCAATTTTCTGAATCTGCTGATGTGGTTTATCCAGAGCAATTTTCTGAATCAGCTGATGTGGTCTATCCAATGCAATTTTCTGAATCAGCTGACATTGTTTATCCAATGCAGTTTTCTGAATCAGCTGATGTAGTCTGTACAATGAAATTTTCTGAATCAGCTGATGTGGTCTATCCAGTGCAATTTTCTGAATTAGCTGATGTCTATCCAATGCAATTTTCTTAATCCGCTGATGTGGTCTATCCAGTGCAATTTTCTAAATCTGCTGATGTGGTCTATCCAGTGCAATTTTCTGAATCAGCTGATGTGGTCTATCCAGTGCAATTTTCTGAATTAGCTGATGTGGTCTATCCAATGCAATTTTCTGAATCTGCTGATGTGGTTTATCCAGAGCAATTTTCTGAATCAGCTGATGTGGTCTATGTAATGCAATTTTCTGAATGAGCACCCTAAATAACCAGAGTCAAAGGGATGGCAATCAGGTGGCTCACTTGTAACAATGGGATGCAGTAGTTCTAATTTAAACTGAATCAGAGGCTGAAAAAATCGAATGCTCATCTCCCATATTGTGTTCCAATGCTCAGACCACTACACCACTTCCATACAGATTGTGTGATGGAAGAGCCTTCACAACCTGAGCCCAGGGAGGTTGTGGGGTGAAGGTTTTTTTCATGTCAGGAGTGACTTGAGAAAGTGCAAGTCGCTTCTGGTGTGAGAAAATTGGCCGTCTGCAAGGATGTTGCCCAGGAGACATTGCCTGGATGTTTTACCATCCTGTGAGAGGCTTCTCTCATCTCCCGGCATGGGGAGCTGGAGCTGACAGATAGGAGCTCACCTCTCTCCTTGGATTTGAACCACTGACCATTCGGTCAGCAGTCCTGCCAACACATGGGGTGAAGTGTTCTCTTTTCCTCCGTGTGTCCTCCCTCCACTGATGGCAACTCAGCATTACCTGGGAGGCTGCAATTCTCACCTCGTTGGTACACGGAACCGGCACCAAGAGGGATGCCCATTTGTGGATTGAGCACTGGTTAGTTGCAACTTCGCTCTGCTCTCTTTCTCCCTTCCCACCCTCAGATGCTCCTGCGACCTCCATGCCGGTGCCGTCCGCTCTGCAGGGTCCCCAGTGCCAGCTGTTTCCGATATGTGACCCGGGGATGTTTGTCTACATCGGCCTTGGGCTCTGCCTTTGCACGCTGCTCTTTGTGCTCTTGATGTGGGTTTACTTCCGAAAGCGAGGAGAGGAGGCGACTTCTCAAGCCGGCCCTGAGACTCGCCACAAAAAGGGGGAACACCCAAAAGGTAAATAATATACACTCAAGCTTTAGCACAGGTTCCAGAAATGGGGTTTTATTCCTCTCCGCCGTCTTTCGCTCGGCGCATGGCAGCGTGGTGCACATGTGCGGGCGAGGGAGAGCGTGTGAGGCTGGAGGGAGGCTCTTACCATCAGGTCACTTCAAAGCATGGGGTTTCGGTGAGGGAAGTTTGGCCCAATTCTATAATGGATGAGGTTCAGCATACTCTTTGATTGTAGGTGAACTATAAATCCCAGCAACTACAACTTCCAAATGTCTGGGTCTGTTTCCCCCAAACTCCACCAGTGTTCACATTTGGGCATATTGAATATTTGTGTCAAGTTTGGCCCAATTCTATAATTAGTGAGGTTCAGAATGCCCTTTGATTGTAGGTGAACTATAAATCCCAGCAACTACAACTCCCAAATGTCAGGGTTTAACTACTATGGCTGGGCTTTGCAGTTTTCCACTCTCAAAAGGGCGCTGTGCCCTGAATCCCCACGGATACGGAGTGCTAAATGTATTTCATGCCCGGGTCACTGCATTAGGAAGGTTGAGAAACACTGCTCTATCATAAGGTTTCCTGGGCAAGAGGTATTCAAAGAGGTTTAACTACTATGGCTGGGCTTTGCAGTTTTCCCCTCTCAAAAGGGCACTGTGCCCACAATCCCCGCGGATACAGAGTGCTAAATGTATTTCATGCTGGGGTCACCACATTAGGAAGGCTGAGAAACACTGCTCTATCATAAGGTTTCCTGGGCAAGAGGTATTCAAAGAGGGCTTCTCTTTCTCTGAGGTTTAACTACTATGTATGGCTGGGCTTTGCAGTTTTCCACTCTCAAAAGGGCGCTGTGCCCGTAATCCCCACGGATATGGAGTGCTAAATGTATTTCATGCTGGGGTCACCACATCAGGAAGGTTGAGAAACACTGCTCTATCATAAGGTTTCCTGTGCAAGAGGTATTCAAAGAGGTCTTATCTTTCTTTGAGGTTTAGCCACTATGGCTGGGATTTGCAGTTTTCCACTCTCAAAAGGGCGCTGTGCCCGTAATCCCTGCGGATACGGAGTGCTAAATGTGTTTCATGCCGGGGTCACCACATCAGGAAGGTTGAGAAACACTGCTCTATCATAAGGTTTCCTGGGCAAGAGGTATTCAAAGAGGGCTTCTCTTTCTCTGTAGTTTAACTACTATGTATAGCTGGGCTTTGCAGTTTTCCACTCTCAAAAGGGCGCTGTGCCTGTAATCCCCGCGGATACGGAGTGCTAAATGTGTTTCATGCCAGGGTCACCACATTAGGAAGGTTGAGAAACACTGCTCTATCATAAGGTTTCCTGGGCAAGAGGTATTCAAAGAGGTTTAACTACTATGGCTGGGCTTTGCAGTTTTCTGCTCTCAAAAGGGTGCCGTGTCCCTAATCCCCGCGGATACAGAGTGCTAAATGCATTTCATGCCAGGGTCACCACATTAGGAAGGTTGAGAAACACTGGGCTTCTCTTTCTCTGAGGTTTAACTACTATGGCTGGGCTTTGCAGTTTTCCACTCTCAAAAGGGCACTTTGCCTGTAATCCCCGCGGATACGGAGTGCTAAATGTGTTTCATGCCGGGGTCACCACATTAGGAAGGTTGAGAAACACTGGGCTTCTCTTCCTCTAAGGTTTAACTACTATGGCTGGGCTTTGCAGTTTTCCACTCTCAAATGGGCGCCGTGCCCCTAATTCCCGCAGATACGGAGTGCTAAATGTATTTCATTCCATTATCTTGAGAGATCTTGTGGGTTTGTTTCTCAGAGAGTCTAATGGAAGAAGGAAGCTTGACCGGTGGATCCAGCAGCAGCCAGACCCCGGAGCCCATCGAGACCTGCGGCTTCTGCTTCCCCGAAGTGAGCCCAGCCATTCAAGAGACCAAAGCGTGCTACACCAAGGCATACCAGCCTGCGGCGCAAGCGCATGCTGCGGTGACGGGAACCCTTCCGACCCCTGAAGACGGCCACTTCCCAATCATATGTTGTCCCTCTCAAGAAAAGATGCAAGTGGCCTGAACTTCAGGAGCTGACTGGACGCTACGTGAAAGCATCCCCGAGAAAGCTGCTCCAATCTCTCCTGCTCCTTCCCACATCCAACTCCACACCCAATGGCACATTTACACAATCCCAAAACAGGCCGAAGAGTTCCTGGCCTGGGCCATTTCTAACTACACATAGTTGCAGGCCTATTGCAGAATCATGGCAGGCATCCTCAGAGGTTGTGAGGTCAGTTGGAAACTAGTAAAATTGGGTGTATTTATCTGTGGAATGATGTCCAGGGTGGGAGAAAGAACTCTTGTCTGTTGGAGCTAGGTGTGAGTGTTGCAATTGGCCACCTTGATTGGCACTGAATGGCCTTGCAGCTTCAAATCTTGGCTGGTTGCTGCCTGAAATGCCAAAAAAACGGGAATTCCAGACAATAAACAATTAGGGCCAGCTAACCACCTCCCAAGGATTCCCCCGTGGCACAGTGGGATAAAGCGCAGAGCTGCTGAGCTTGTTGACCGAAAGGTCGCAGGTTCGATTCCGGGGAGCGGCGTGAGCTTCTGCTGTCAGCCCTTGCTTCTGCCAACCTAGCAGTTCGAAAACATGCAAATGTGAGTAGATCAATAGGTATCGCTTCAGCGGGAAGGTAACGGCGCTCCATGCAGTCATGCCGGCCACATGAGTTTGGAGGTGTCTACGGACAACGCCGGCTCTTCGGCTTAGAAATGGAGATGAGAACCACACCCCAGAGTCGGACATGACTGGACTTCATGTCAGGGGACAACCTTTACCTTTACCTTTTAACCACCTCCGAACAGGCAGAAAGCAGCCAGGCTTTGAAGCTGCAAGGCTATTCAATGCTAATCAGGATGGCCAACTGTAACATTCACACTTGCCTCCAACAGACAAGAGTTCTTTCTCCCACCCTGGACATCATTCCACAGGTGTATAAACCTCACTTGCCTTGTTTCCAGCAGATCTCACAACCTCTGAGGATACCTGCCATAGATGCAGGCAAAACGTCAGGAGAGAATGCTTCTAGAACAGGGTAGTACAGTCCGGAAAACTCACAGCAACCCAGGGATTCCGGCCATGAAAGCCTTCGACATTAGAGTCCTAGAGTTGGAAGAGACCACGTGGGCCATCCAGTCCAACCCCGTTCTGCCAAGAAGCAGGAATATTTCATTCAAAGCACCCCTGACAGATGGCCATCCAGCCTCTGTTTCAAATCCTCCAAAGAAGGAGCCTCCACCACACTCTGCGGCAGAGAGTTCCACTGCTGAACAGCTCTCTCACTGTCAGGAAGTTCTTCCTAATGTTCAGGTGGAATCTCCTCTCTTGTAGTTTCTCTTGTCCTAGGGAAGCAGAAAACCAGCTTGCTCCCTCCTCCCTAGGACTTCCCCTCACATATTGATACATGGCTATCATCATGTCTCCTCTCAACCTTCTCTTCTTCAGGCTAAACATGCCCAGCTCTTTAAGCCGCTCCTCATGGGGCTTGTTCTCCAGACCCTTGATCCTTTGAGTCACCCTCCTCTGGACGTATTCCAGCATGTCAACATCTCTCTTCAGTTGTGGTGCCCAGAATTGGACACAATATTCCAAGAGTGGTCTGACCAAGGCAGAATGGGGAGCATGACTTCCCTAGATCTAGACCAGCGTTTCTCAACCTGGAGGTCAGGACCCCTGGAGGGGTCGTGAGGGGGTGTCAGAGGGGTCACCTAAGACCATCAGAAAACAGTATTTTCTGTTGGTCATAGGGGTTCTGTGTGGGAAGTTTGGCCCTATTCTAACCTTGGTGGGATTCAGAATGCTCTTTGATGGTAGGTGAACTATAAGTCCCAGCAACTACAACTCCCAAATGTCAAGGTCTATTTCCCCCCAAATTTCCCCAGTGTTCACATTTGGGCATATTGAGCATCCATGCCAAGTTTGGTCCAGATCTATCACTGTTTTGAGTCCACAGTGCTCTCTGGATGTACATGAACTACAATTCCCAAACTCGAGGTCAATGTCCACCAAACCCTTCCAGTATTTTCTGTTGGTCACGGGAGTTCTGTGTGCCAAGTTTGGTCCAATTCCATCGTTGGTGGAGTTCAGAATGCTCTTTGATTGGAGGTGAACTATAAATCCAACTACAACTCCCAAATGTCAAGGTCTATTTCCCCCCAAACTCCACCTGTGTTCACATTTGGGCATATTGAGTATTCGTGCCAAATTTGGTCCAGATCTATCATTGTTGGGAGTCCACAATGCTCTCTGGATGTAGGGGAACTACAACTCCAAAACTCAAGGTCAACGCCCACCAAATCCAAATTCCACCAGTGTTCACATTTGGGCATATCACTGTTTCAGTCCACAGTACTCTCTGGATGTAGGTGAACTACAACTCCCAAACTCAAGGTCAATGCCCACCAAACCCTTCCAGTATTGTCTGCTGGTCAGGGAAGTTCTGTGTGCCAAGTTTGCTTCAATTCCATTGTTGGTGGAGTTCAGAATGCTCTTTGATTGGAGGTGAACTATAAATCCCAGCAACTACAACTCTCAAATGTCAAGGTCTGTTTTTCCCAAGCTCCAATCAGGTTCACATTTGGGCATATTGAGTGCCAAGTTGGGTCCAGATCCATCCTGTTTGAGTCCACAGTGTTCTCTGGATGTAGGTGAACTACGACTCCCAAATGACATCAAAATCAGCCCCCCCCCCCCCCACAACTCCACCAGTATCCACATTTGGGTGTATTGGGTATTTGTACATCCTGCATATCAGATACTTGCATTACGATTTATAACTGTAGCAAAATTACAGCAACGAAAACAATGTTATGGTTGAGGGTCACCACAACATGAGGAACTGACCTACCAAGAAGAAACCATGGTAGGTCTTGGCCAAAAACCCAAACCCAACCAGCAGGCAACTGAGACAATGATCAGCGATGAAGGCCACACTCCTGTTCTGCAGCAACAGCAACATGAAACCACACCAAAGCACCGGAATCCACGCTTTTCCTGAGAAGAATCTGAAATAAAGACACGTTTTCTGCAAAATTCATAACTACGTATAGTTGCCTATCTGTGGTTTCGGGGTGGGGTGGGGGGACCGCTTAAGCCCTAGAAAGAGAGAGCTAACATCTGTCTGGGATGCTTTCATTGGGCTTGGACCCTCACTCGTACTATGGACTCCAACTCCCACCATTCCTAACAGCCTCAGGCCCCTTCCTTTTCCTCCTCTGCCGCTTAAGCCCTAGAAAGAGAGAGCTAACATCTGTCCGGGATGCTTTCATTGGGCTTGGACCCTCACTCGTACTATGGACTCCAACTCCCACCATTCCTAACAGCCTCAGGCCCCTTCCTTTTCCTCCTCTGCCGCTTAAGCCCTAGAAAGAGAGAGCTAACATCTGTCCGGGATGCTTTCATTGGGCTTGGACCCTCACTCGTACTATGGACTCCAACTCCCACCATTCCTAACAGCCTCAGGCCCCTTCCTTTTCCTCCTCTGCCACGTAAGCCCTAGAGAGAGCTAACATCCGTCAGGGATGCTTCTCTTGGGCTTGAACCCTCACTCATAGTATGTCTACACCAAGCATGGGCCAACACTGACCCTCCAGACGTTTTGGACTCCAACTCCCACCATTCCTAACAGCCTCAGGCCCCTTCCTTTTCCCCTTCAGCCTCTTAAGCCCTAGAGAGAGAGAGCCAACATCTGTCCGGGATGCTTTAATTTGGCTTGAACCCTCACTCATAGTATGTCTACACCAAGCATGGGCCAACACTGACCCTCCAGACGTTTTGGACTCCAACTCCCACCATTCCTAACAGCCTCAGGCCCCTTCCTTTTCCCCTTCAGCCTCTTAAGCCCTAGAGAGCCAACATCTGTCCGGGATGCTTTAATTTGGCTTGAACCCTCACTCATAGTATGTCTACACCAAGCATGGGCCAACACTGACCCTCCAGACGTTTTGGACTCCAACTCCCACCATTCCTAACAGCCTCAGGCCCCTTCCTTTTCCCCTTCAGCCTCTTAAGCCCTAGAGAGAGAGAGCCAACATCTGTCCGGGATGCTTTAATTTGGCTTGAACCCTCACTCATAGTATGTCTACCCCAAGCATGGGCCAACACTGACCCTCCAGGCATTTTGGACTCCAACTCCCACCATTCCTAACAGCCTCAGGCCCCTTCCTTTTCCCCTTCAGCCTCTTAAGCCCTAGAGAGAGAGAGCCAACATCTGTCCGGGATGCTTTAATTTGGCTTGAACCCTCACTCATAGTATGTCTACACCAAGCATGGGCCAACACTGACCCTCCAGACGTTTTGGACTCCAACTCCCACCATTCCTAACAGCCTCAGGCCCCTTCCTTTTCCCCTTCAGCCTCTTAAGCCCTAGAGAGAGAGAGCCAACATCTGTCCGGGATGCTTTAATTTGGCTTGAACCCTCACTCATAGTATGTCTACCCCAAGCATGGGCCAACACTGACCCTCCAGGCATTTTGGACTCCAACTCCCACCATTCCTAACAGCCTCAGGCCCCTTCCTTTTCCCCTTCAGCCTCTTAAGCCCTAGAGAGAGAGAGCCAACATCTGTCCGGGATGCTTTAATTTGGCTTGAACCCTCACTCATAGTATGTCTACACCAAGCATGGGCCAACACTGACCCTCCAGGCATTTTGGACTCCAACTCCCACCATTCCTAACAGCCTCAGGCCCCTTCCTTTTCCCCTTCAGCCTCTTAAGCCCTAGAGAGAGAGAGCCAACATCTGTCCGGGATGCTTTAATTTGGCTTGAACCCTCACTCATAGTATGTCTACACCAAGCATGGGCCAACACTGACCCTCCAGGTGTTTTGGACTCCAACTCCCACCATTCCTAACAGCCTAGGCCCCTTCCTTTTCCTCCTCTGCCGCTTAAGTCCTAGAAAGAGAGAGCTAACATCTGTCGGGGATGCTTTAGTTGGGCTTCAACCCTCACTCATAGTATATCTATTTTTAAGTCATTTTTAAGGTCTTCCATTGATGATGATGATGATAATAATAGGATAATAATAATACCTTCCTATCCAATGCATTTTCTATATTCACCATTGCAATAACTGATAATAATAATAATAATAATAATAATAAT